TTAAAGACTTGCATTGCTATTGCCCGGCTCTCCTGAGTGCTGGGATTAAAGATTCGGCGCCGCTACCGTCCGATTCTTTAAAAAACAAACAAATAAAAAAACCTAAAAATTACTTTTTTTTCTTAAGATTTATTTATTTATTTACTGTGTATACAACATTCTGCCTCCATGTATGCCCACACGCTAGAAGAGGGTGCCAGATCTCATTACAGATGCTTATGAGCCACCATGTGGTTGCTGGAAATTGAACTCATGACCTCTGGAAGAGCAGCCAGTGCTCTCAACCTCTGAGCCATCTCTCCAGCCCTCTAAAAATTATTTTTAATTATGTGAATGTGTGTGCCCCTTGTGGAGACCAGAGCTACTACTATCTGATAGCCCTGGAGCAGGAGTTAAAGAAATTTGTGAGCTTGCCTGTCATGCTGTGAAGGTAACTGCTTCTCCAAGAGCAGCCAGTGTGCTTAACCATGGAGCCATCTCCAACCCCTGCAAAGTCCTTTTTTGAGGGAGCAGGAAGTTGAGACAGAGTCTTTCCATATTGCCCTGGTTGTCCTGGGACTCCCTATGTGTAAACCAGGCTGGACTTGAGCTCACAGAGGTCCATCCGTGTTACAGAACATTCCTTTACCCTGTGTAAAGATGTGCCATTGTAGTTGGTCTAATAAAGAGCTGAATGGCCATTAGCTAGGCAGGAAGAGGTTAGGCAGGACCTATGAGGACAGGGAGGACTCAAAGAGAAAGAAAGGCAGAGTCACCAGCCAAATGTGGAGGAAGCAGGATGGGCAGTTCAGAGTAAAGGTAATGAACATAGATTTAAAAATATGGGTTAAGGGCTAGAGCGATGGCTCTGTGATTAAGAGCTCTGACTCTGCTCTTCCAGACCAGAGGACCCAGGTTCAATTCTCAGCACCCACATGGCAGTCCATACCTATCAGTAACTCCAGTTCCAGGGCTTCAGACGTGCATGCAGGCAAAAAACCAATTAACATTAAATAAAAATAAATTATCCAAAAATATGGGTTAATAAGAACTTGTTAGGAATAAGCCTGAGCTAAGGCAGAGTTTTCAAGATGATAAGCCTCTGTGTTGTATTTGGGAGCTGGCTGGTGAGACAGAAAGACTCATTACACATCTGCCTCTGCCTCTCAAGTACTGGATTAAAGGAATGCGCCTTTGAATTCCACCTGCCTCCTGCATGGAGGGACGGTATCTTTCAACATGCTAACAGTGTCGGGTTGGTGTGGTGTTGTGCCTTCACTCCTTCAGAGGGGAGGGAAGAAGAATCTTCAGTTTGAGTCAAGTCGGTTTCCATGGCAAGATGCTGAGAGCTCCCCATGGTAATCCACGTCTGCACTTCCAGCATTCAGGAGGCTGAGGCAGGAGGATCGCCATAGATTCCAGGTCAACTTGGTCTACAAAGTGAGTACCAGGACAGCCAAGATTATAAAGTGAAACCTGCTCTCAGAAACAAAATTAGTTTGGTGGGTTTTTTCTTATTTAAAAACAAGCAAGCAGAAGTTCTCACACCAGTTTCTGACCCTTTTCTGTTCTCATTTATTCTTCATAGGCGATCTTATCCACTCATGATCTCTATTATTGTCCTGTTATAAACTAATCTTTTTGTACACTGTGAAGATGTATCTTTACCAAGACACCTTCTGATTGATTTAATAAAGGGTTGACTGAGCAATAGCTAGGCAGGAAGAGGTTAGGTGAGAGAGCCAAGGTAAGAGGATGCTGGGAATAAAGGCGGAGTCTCAGGAGTTGCCAGCCAGAAACAGAGGAAGCAGGAAAACAACATGGGCAGAATAAAAGTAATAAAGACATTAGGAAGAAAATAATTTTTAAAATGGATTGGTTTCCCAGCACTCGGGAGGCAGAGGCAGGCGGATCTCTGTGAGTTCGAGGCCAGCCTGGGCTACAAGAGCTAGTTCCAGGACAGGAACCAAAAGCTACGGAGAAACCCTGTCTCGAAAAATCAAAAAAAAAATGGATTCGTTTAAGTTATAAGAACTAGTGGGGAGGGGCTGGAGAGATGACTCAGAGGTTAAGAGCACTGGCTGCTCTTCCAAAGGTCCTGAGTTCAATTCCCAGCAACCACATGGTGGCTCACAACCATCTGTAATGAGATCTGGTGCCCTCTTCTGGCCTGTAGGCACACACACAGACAGAATATTGTATACATAATAAATAAATATTTTTTTAAAAGAGAGCTAGTGGGACAAGCCTGAGCTATTGGCCAAGCTTTTGTAATTAATAATAAGTCTCTGTATGGTTATTTGGGAGCTGGCAGTCCCAACAAGAAATTCCACCTACATTGTCTGGTGTCACAAACTCACAAGTGCAGGCCTCATTTCTCTCCTGAGCTTTAGCTCCTATGTATACCTGCCTGCTGCATCTCTCCATAGGACCCACAGTTCCACAGCTACTGTACTGGTCATATCCACTTGTTCTCAGATTCTTCTAGGTTCCCTTGTTTGGTAAATTGCATCAGGCCATATAGCTTGGACTCATCTTGTCTTTTTCTAGTGATGTTAGTTAAAATCAACTTTCATTATAGTTGAAATAATTTGTTTTTTAACAATATTAAATATCATTCGAAATGAATTATTCAGTTACCCAATTCTTTGTTTCACTTGTGTCTGTTATGATCAAATTCTAATAAGCCACTTCAGGTACTTTCAGTTTTTTGTTTGTTTGTTTGGTTTTTTGGTCCCTAGCTAGTCTCCTAGACTTATAGTTTTGTTCCTCCAGGTTTCCTTGCTCCTTGAAAAGTCCAGAGTAAGGTGGGGCAGTGGCTGTGCACACCTTTAATCCCATAATTTGGGAGGTAGAAGCAGGCAGGTCTCTGAGTTCATAGCCAGCCTGGTTTACAGAGTGAAATCCAGGATGGCCAAGGTCACACAAAGAGAAACACTGAGAGCTCAAACATCATCTCCATCTAAAAGCACAAAGCAGAGAGAACTAACTGGGAATGACTTGGCCATTTTGAAACCCTAAGGCTGACCCCCTCCTACAAGACCACACTTCTCAATCCTTCCCAAATACTTCTACTAATTGAGAACAAATATTTCAAATATATGAACCTATGGGGATCATTCTTATTTAAACCACCACAAAAAACATGGGTCAAGTAATACTAAGGAGAAGTGAGTTATGATGGTATATACTTGTGATTCCTGACACTTGGGAGTAACAGGCAGGATCAAGTTCAAGGTCCTCCTCAGTGCTGCAACCTGGGCCATATGAGACTGTGTCTCAAAGAAAGTAAGTCCGTATATTTGAGCCTGGTTCAGTGGCATAAATCTTTAATCTGAGCACTAGGGAGGCATAAGCAGACAGATCATTGAGTTCAAGGCCTCAAAAAGAAATCCATATATTCATAGGAAGTCAGTATATAATACTTAAATTTAGCCAAATGGGGTTGCACACCTTTGATCCCAGCACTTGGGGGACAGGGGCAGGCCGATTTCTGAGTTTGAGGCCAGGTCTACAAAGTGAGTTGCAGGACAGTCAGTGATACACAGAGAAACCCTGTGTAAAACCAAAATAATAATAATAAATAAACTTAGAATGAGTGGTAGAAGATAGTTTAGAATTATGGATGGTTGAACCAGAGAAATGGCTTATCAGTTAAGAGTACAGATTGCTCTTACAGTAGGACCTAAATTCAGTTACCAACACCTGTATTGGATGGCTCACTATTGCTAGTAACTACAACTCCAGGGGATCCAAGGCCCTCTTCTGACCTCAGGGGGAATCTGTACTTATGTGTATATTTCCACACAAAGACACATACATGTAGGAAATTAATAAGTAGAATCTAGAATTATGAGTAGTTAAGCACACACACACACACTACAAACAACAAACTGAGAGTGGGCTGCCTTTGGGAAGTGGGCCCCCAGGTCTGAAAGAGCAGAGGGAAGGGGCGCATTTCATTGTAAATATTCCCGTAATGCTGGGACAAAACAGTTTTTCATGGCTGCTCCTTACCTGTAGAATTAAGTCCAAACAGCCTAGAAATATATATACCCTTCTTACTACTCAGTGTGGTCCTCAGAGAAGGAGCATGCCATCCCCTGTAGCATCCTGGAAATGTGGACTCTTGGGGCTGGAGATGGCTCAGCAGGTAATAACACATAACCGCTCTGAGAGAGGACCTCGGTTCAGTTCCCAGCACCCGTTTTGCACAGCTCACAACTGCTAAATCCAGTTCCCAGGGATCTGATCTGATGCCCTGCTGTGGCCTCTAGGCACCTGTACCCGGGTGCATGTACTCTCAACTTACGCGAACGTGTACATGTAAGTAAAATAGAAAATAAATCTTTGAATAGGACTTTAATCCCTGTACTGTTGAGGCAGCGGTAAGTATACCTCTGTGAGTTTCAAGGCCACCTACCTTACATAGCAAGAACCAGCAAAACCCTTTCTGCCCCTCACTCCCCTCAAAAATGGGCAATGCAGTATCTAAGGCCCTAACTTCACGAGGTCTTCAGATGACCCATATTTAGTTAAGTCTAAGAAGCACCTCTTATTTTTTGCAAGACCCTGTAAGCGCAAGAGCAAGACCGTGGGGAATCCCTTGAATTTTAATAATGGTTTCTTCTCAATGGCCAGGGGAATTGCCCTTCTATTACTCCTTCAGTCTGATTTTTGGGCACTGGGAGGTGTCTGTGAGCTGGGCAGCTATATTCTAACTCCTGTAACCGACACAGTTATTAGCAGAAAGACTTCCAAACCCTCTGCAGCCCTGTTAATTCTGACTGAGGCTGTGTACTTTTCATTCAGCAAACATCTTTTTAGCTGTCTGCTGTGCGTTTAGCTGGCGTCAACGTAATGAGAAGGCACTGAGCTTCCTTTGAGGTCTTCAGTTCCAAATCCAGTAGCATGCCATCCACGACTAGAAGTTGTGTGCGCAACACTCGGTATCTTTCTCTACCCGACTGCGCGGCTTTTCTGAGCGTTACGGCGCCCTCCTCCTGCCCCCAGCGCGGCGCAGGCGGGGACCCACCGGTTTCGCTCCGCGTCCGCGGCAGAGAAGGGAGGACCCTAGGGAACTGGACCTCCGCGTCTGGTCGCCCAGCCCTGTTTTGGCTTGGGCCCACATGGAGGGGACTGCAGAGTCCCAGACGCCTGACTTGCGGGACGTGGAGGGCAAGGTGGGCAGGAAGACCCCGGAAGGGCTGCTCCGCGGGCTGCGAGGCGAGTGGGAGCTGGGAACCTCTGGGGACCTGCTGCTCCCTGGGGCACCCAGCACCGGCCACAGCCTGGGGGACAAGATCATGGCGCTGAGGATGGAGCTGGTGAGTGTGGGTGCTATAGGCCACGGGGACTGGGACGGGGTCCTATAGCATAAGACCATTTGTAGGGATAGGATCAGGTTCCCGGAGTTAGGCTACCGAAGAGGGAGGAGGGTCCCTCCTAGATCAATCCATATACCTTAGGTTGAAAGTGGAGAGAAGTGACGTCTCATTGCATGACCTCTCACTCTCAAGGGTGAGTGAAGGGTTGAGAGAGCCTGGGAACTGGTGTAGGAGGCACAGCTCTTGGAACTTTTCCCTGCCCAATAATCGGGAGGAGGGAGGCCAGGGCTAAGTAGTACAAAAAACTTAGTTCAGCGCAAATTCTTCCCATCAGCATCCGGGGCCGTCAATTTCCTAATACCCCATTATAAGACAACTGTTTTTTATCCACTCCTTCGGCAAACTGGGGAAAGGTTTCATTCCTAAGGCCCCAGGGTGTTTTGAAACTGCCTGCATTAGGGGCACACTAAAAACATGTCTCTTTCCTAAGCATCGCACCAGCATGGTATTAAACATTCAAAGACCTTAACAGAGTCAGCAACAGAATAGTAACACACAGTTCGAGTTGGTCCTTCACCTGGGCTTCAGTCTCCTTTCAGACTCTTGGGGGGGAGGGGAGGAAACAGCAGCACCCCGCCTTCCCTGGAGCTGTTGGTCCAGATTCTGAGCCAAAAGGGCAGCTGGGCCCCAGCGGGCTCCCCCAGGGCCCTGGTTCCGGTGAAACAGATGAATTACACCTGCCGCCACTCTGCAGCCAGTTCTGGGGAACTGAGGAATTGCCAGCTCCTCCTGGGCTTAGAACCAGAAGCTGTGACGGTGCCGGTTAATAGGTCTTCCTGGGGCCCCACTGTGTGCCCAACCTTGTGTCGAGCAGATCTGGAAGGGTGGAAGGAGAGACATGGTCTACTTCTAAGGCCAGCCCAGGGCTCTCGTTCTATGCTAAGAGAGCCTCCTGGGATGAAGATCAGAGAGGATCCCAGGGGGCAGAATATGAAGGCCAAGTGTGTGCTTGGTCTTGAAGGTTGTAGTTGAATGCCAAATTCTCCAGAGCAGGGCTGACTGTACTTACCTCTGAATGCAAACTGTTCAAGGCATAGCGAAAGCCTACCTACTTTGTCCTTTGAAAACTACGTTGTTTTGTTTCGGTGTTTTGAGTCTATGTAGCTCAGGCTGACCCCCAAACACATATTCCTCATGTCTCACTCAGTCTCTTGAGTGCCGGGATTATGAGCATGTGCCACCATACCCAGCTAGAAATTAAATTATACTGGGAATATAAGCCATGTATCATCAGTGCCCAGCGTGATACATGATATTTTTCCTCTTTAAAGAAATTTAAGAAAATTTATGTGTAGGAATATTTGCCTGCCTGCGTGAATGTGTGTGTAGCACGTGCATGCCTGTTGCCCATGGAGGTTAGAGAGTATCAAATCCCTTGGAACTGGAGTTACGGATGGTTCTGAGCCACTGTGTGGGTGCTGGGAACCTAACCTGGATCCTCTGCAAGAACCAGCGCTCCTGTGCCAGCCCCCCCCCCCCCAGATGCTGAACCTAGGGCTTTGCACACACAGGGCGAGTGCTGTGCAGCTGAGCTCTACCACTCTTCCTCCTCGCTAGCCCTCGTGCTCAGCTAGAGGAGCGCTATTTTATATACGAACTGAAGCAGTTGCCCACGGTCACTCAGAAAGTAAAGTCAAGAGTTGAGCCCAGATCATTTGGCCACACTGATCATGAAAACCTGTTTTGTGCCGACACTTTAAACACATTTCACGTCATTGAGATGAGAAAAGTTTCCAGTGTCCCTGGGCTTACTTCTCATGCAGGAAATCTGGAGGCAGGCCTAACCCCTGACTCTCATTCTTTATAAACTCTAGGGAAGTATATTTGGTTTTTTAGTATTTATTTATTTATTATTGACACAGTGTTCTGTCTGCATGTTTGCCCGAGAGGACACCAGATCTCATTATAGGCAGTTGTGAGTCACCATGTGGTTGCTGGGAATTGATCTCAGGACCACTGGAAGAGCAACCAGTGCTCTTAAACTCTGAGCCATCTCTCCAGCTCCTTAATTCCTTGCTTTAACTTTTGGTCTATCTGACCTAGGGTCTGAGGCTTCCCAGGAACAGTGTTTTGGAGACTGGAAGAGGGAAAAGATCCATGTCAGGCTCCTCTCTCCCTCCTCAGGCCAGGAGAGCATTGATTTCTTCCTGTTCTCTGTTCTAACCACGGTTTACTGAAGCACAAGGGCGGGGCAGGAGGTTTGAGGCCGTGAAGGCTGAACTGACCAAAGCGATCTAAGGTCTGTCCTTCAGTTGCCCCCCTCTCTGCTCTCCTCAGTAGGAGCAGAGGCTTGCCCTTCAGGCCAAGGTCAGTGCTACTTTTAGCTTTCTACTCTCGCGTTGTTCCCTAGTCTGAAGCCGAGTGAGGGAAGAGCCAGTCTGAGGTGTGTGGGAATGGCAAGCAATGGTAGCCCCTCCATCTACCCAAAGAGGTGTTGCTATGAGAAGCCACCTCCACTGCGCAGTTGGTGGGAAAACATTAGTCAAGGATGGGGAAAGGCATGAGTTCAAACCTCGTCTCCACTTCTGATGTATTGTGTGGTCTTAAGGAGGGCCCTGTCACTTCCTTGTCCTTATGGGTTTTTGTCCTTTGACAGAGGAAATAAGGGAGTAACTGTGGAACTAGACAACTGTTAAGGACTTTTTTTTTTTTTTTTTTTCCGAGACAGGATCTCTCTGGTTTTGGAGGCTGTCCTGGAACTAGCTCTTGTAGACCAGGCTGGTCTCGAACTCACAGAGATCCGCCTGCCTCTGCCTCCCGAGTGCTGGGATGAAAGGTGTGTGCCACCACTGCCCGGCTTCTGTTAAGGACTTTTATTTTAGTGACAGTAGTTAATCCCAACAGTCAGTTACCAGGGATCTAGAAATGGGTCTTTAGGCTTTTAACCTGAGACCTAATTTGGGTTGAGCAAAGAAGGAGCCCTGCCCAGGACACCTGGGCTGGGCAGAATCTGATCTACATAGGGGGAGGAGAAGGGAGCCTCCAGGGGAAAGCATTGGGTGGCCTCTATTTATCTTCTGCTCTGTTTCCAAAGAGATGGCATGAAATGAGTGTTTCTTTTTCTGGTGAGAAAGCCTTTTGCTTCTATTCTGGGGGGATGATGTTGTCGCAGTCAGGGAATCCCACTGTTGCAGGATTAAAGAATCTGGTGCTCCCGTTGGTTTCCTAAGCAACACAGTAAACTCAGCCCCTTGAGAATCACAGAGCTGAACGAAAGGTGCTCGGTGCAACCTTAGGCAGAAAACCTGCAATGAGTTGGGCGGGAACTGCTCTCAGAGAGCTGATGGCCTGGGATGGGGACGGAGGAGACAGACTGGGGCTTGTGAAGGAAGAGAAATGCTGTGGGAGCGTGGGAAATGCTAGGCAGGGAGCGTGCTTGCTTGCCTTGTATGCAAAAAGCCCTGAGTTGAATCCTAAGAACTACATAAAAACTGGGTGTGGTGTGACATGGCTGTAATCCTAGCACACAGGTGAGGCAGCAGGATCAGAAGTTCAAGGAAAAAAAATGCTGCTGGGCCTGCCTCCCAGAAGAGCAGACCTGGAGTGAAGTGGTATCAAATGTCCTCCATTTAGAATCAGAGGACAGTACATCCTCTGGCTGGAATGCTTCTCCCCACTGGTCAAGTCCATGTCTCTCAAGCTCATGTCTCTCATCTAGGTTTGGGCTAAGGCCCTCCAGGTACTCACAAGCCTCTGAAGCATTGTTTTCTCTACCATTTGCCGCATGGAATGAAAAATATATAGCTTTATTACTTTTCTTCTGTGTTCGAGTGTTTTCAATGTTTATGTATATGTGTGGACTACACGCGTGACTGATGCCTGCAGAGGTCATAAGAGGGCTTCATATCCCCTGGAACTGGAGTTAAGGATCCTTATTAGCTTACCACGTGGGTGCTGGGAATCGAACCCTGGTCTTTAAGAAGTGAAGCCATTCATCGTGGCACACGCCTTTAATCCTAGCACAGGAGAGGCAGAGGCAGTGAGCCACCACCAGCTGATTAAAATATCTTTTTATTATGAGACAAAACAATTATCTGGGATGTGCTTGAATTTGCAATCCTGCCTTCACCTCTTCATTAGCTGGGATTACAAATTTGTGCCACCAGGCCTCTTTCTATATGAATGTATTAATTTGGTTAAAAGTTAAACTAAATAAGGGTTGGAGAGATGGCTCAACGGTTAAGAGCACTGACTGCTCTTCCAGAGGTCCTGAGTTCAATTCCCAGCAACCACATGGTGGCTCACACCCATCTGTAATGAGATCTGGTGCCCTCTTCTGGTCTGGCATGCAGATAGATATACATGCAGACAGAACAAAATAAATATTTAAAAAATGTTAAACTAAATAAATCTAAATTTACAAGCAATAATATACCAGGTATGGTGGCACACTCCTTTAATCCCAGGACTCAGGAGAGATGGACAAGGGCCATAATATAACAGGCAACTACTGATATGTTTATTCTCTCTGAACACTGCAAAGCATAGGGGCAGGTTCAGACTTGTGCTTGAGAAAGGTTAACTCAGTACACTTGAGGTGGGAGGGACCTCTGGAGGTTACACTGTAGTTCACACTTCCGGAAGACTAAAGGGAAACTAAAGGCCCCAAATCCCCAGCATTGGGATTCTGACCCTGAGCTCTGCCTAGCCCTTCTCCCCATTGGGCCTTGTCACCAAGGGAACCAAGTTAGCACCCTCTTGATTCCTTAGTTCCCATCTCCTTTTGGCCCAAACTGTTTCCCAGCTGACACCTCAGGAGAGCTAGCCTTTGGTTTCTAAGTCACACTGGTGAGTCTAGATTGGTGGAATAGTTTACTATTGTTTAACTCTGGCACAGTGGCTGTGCCTTAACCTACTGCTACTTCAGCCAGCAATTGCAGCTCCACAGTTACTGGCCTGCTACTCAGGCCACAGCCTGATGTCCCACCAGGCTCTGTGGCTACCGCTAAAGGTAACCTTAACTAAATCTCTATCATTCTCTTTATAAATAAAAGTCAAGATTCGAAGACAACTACCTAACCTTCTTTCTTTACTGGTGTCTCCAAAAGACCCATGCTTCCACTCTGCCAAACCATAAAAAACTGGGTCACTCCAAATCCCTCCCTACTACTTCCTGTGTCTATCTCTCCTGGATGCTCTCTGATGCTCTCTGATTACTTTCTGTCAACTAGATGCTAACTCGGTCTCCTGACCCAAGGTTAATTTTATTTAATCAGCACAAATGAAAATTCAGGGTTCACAGTATGACGGAATATACCCCAACAGCTTACCTTGAATAGGAAGTTTGAAGCCCAGTAGAGTGGATTTTGGATTCGTGTGTGTGTGTGTGTGTGTGTGTGTTGTGTTGGAGACTGGCCGTGCTAAGCAGGTACTCTGCATTAACCCTAACTCTGGATTTGTTAGTTTTGTGTTTGTTCTGTTTTTCTTCAGTGAAGAGTTTTACTGAGATAAAGGGAAGGGGGGAAGGAAGAGAATGGGGTAGAGAGACTGAGAAAGACAGAGATGCCGGGAGGAGAAGAGAAGGAAGAGAGACAGTTATTTACTAGTTCTTACACTAGCTCAAACGCCTTTAAAGTTTTCAAAGTATTTAATTTTATTCATGTGTTTATGCATGTTTGTGTGTGTCAAGGTCAGAAGAGGGGACTGGGTTTTTTGGAGCTGTAGCTTAGAGGAGGCTGTGAGCCACCTCTATGGAGCCAAGCTCCAGCCCTCTGCAAGGCTTAACCATGAGTCATCTCTCAGACCTCTGGCCTCAAACTCTTGTTCCTCCTACCTCAGCCTCTTTATTTTGTCCATTTTTTTTGATTTTTTGTTTTGTTTTGTTTTTGTTTCTTGAGACAGGGTTTCATTGTGTAGCCCTGGCTGTCCTGGAACCAGGCTGCCTGCCTCTGCCTCCCAAATGTTTCCTCGGCTTCTTAAGTGCTAGACCCTCACAACCAGTTTTGTTTTATTTTCTTTCATTACTTTTAAAACAGGGTCTCACGAAGCCCAGGCTGGTCTTGAACTGCTGACATAGCTGAGAATGACTTAGAACTTCTGATCCTCCTGCTTCCATCTCCTGAGTGCCTGGATTACAAAACTACATCACTACACCTACTTTACTGGGTCCTAAGGAACCCACAGCTTAGTGTCTGCTAGGCAAGTGTTCTCCCCACTGAGCTGTGTCTGTAGCCCCTGAGCCTCATATTTTAATATTTAAGTACGTGCCTGACAGCATTTCAAGAACCCTTGCTCCCGGGCTGTGAAGTGGGTGATGGCTTGCTTGCTTGCTTATTTATTTATTTATTTATTTATTGTTTGAGATAGGGTTTCTCTGTGTAACCCTGGTTTGGCTGTCCTAGAACTCACTCTGTAGACTAGGCTGGTCTCAAACTCACAGAGATCCGTCTGTCTCTGCCTACCAAGTGATGGGATTAAAGGTGTGTGCCACCTCCACCTGGCTGTCTGTCCAGGTTTACTAAAATTGACTGGACCACAAGGTCAGGGAAACACCTGGGAAACTCACAGCTTAGAACCGGGAACTAATTTCTCTTCTCACTTCTTCAGGCTTACCTTCGAGCTATCGATGTGAAGATCCTGCAGCAACTGGTGACCCTGAACGAGGGCATCGAGGCAGTTCGTTGGCTGTTGGAGGAGCGGGGAACACTGACCAGCCATTGCAGCAGTCTTACCAGCAGCCAGTATAGCCTGACAGGTGGAAGCCCAGGCCGCTCAAGGCGGGGCAGTTGGGACAGCCTGCCAGATACCAGCTCAACTGACCGGCTGGACAGTGTCTCTATTGGCAGTTTCTTGGACACTGTGGCCCCCAAAGAGCTGGATGAACAAGGACCCCCTGGGCCTTCCTGTCCTGAGATTGACTGGGCAAAGGTTATACCCAGTGAAGCCAGGACTGAGGTGGACGTAACATCCACCAAGCTAGGGAGCTTAACGGCTCCTTGGAAGCTCCCAGGAGACGAGCTGCAAGGTGGACCACCTGAGCTATCGGAGGATGACAATGTTAAGCAGGGCTTTGAGGCTCACTGGTTCTGGGGACAGTGCCAGGATGACGTGACCTTCTTGTAAAAACTTCCCTACCTATTTGTGCTTTGTGGCTCTTTCAGCTTGTGGCCCAAGTCTCTCTCAGTTTTCCCTCAACCTCCGACTAGACAGAAGCTATACCGAAATCACTTACCACAGAAGCCTGGCTTCTCTCTCTCTCTGCTCCCTGGGGAACCTTTGCATTTATCCCTCAATTATTGGGTCCCTGGAGCTATTTCCATAGAGATATTGACTCTAGAGAACTAGCCTGTGGCTCCTGATGTAAGGGTATCCCACACCCTTCCCCAGTGAGGTGAAGGTTTATGAAATTTAGGGCTTCTAGGACATCACTGAAGAGGAGATGGGGGAAATAATCTCCTCATCCAAACCCTAGGAGGCTGGGATGCCTCATAAAAGATGGAGAACTGGGGAGGGGCGTTCAGGACCAAACCTCCATGGATTGGCCCTCCTCCATGGAGTTAGGAGAGGAACCCTTTGCTGCCTGCTGAGTGATGTCATTTCCTTTCATGATACAGGGAAGAGTGCTTCCTCTAAAGCAGTCCTGGTTGGTGTGTCATAGGCCTGTATGGAGGGTTCCTGAGTCCCTGTTGTCCCGCCATTGCCTCCTGTGAGAGGGAACACATCGCTCTTGCTGCAGATGTCTGTGCTGCTTTTATCGGTTCTTCCTTTTCAAACATGGTGTTTTCATCCCTGCTTGGTGCTGTAATGATATTCTTACTGGGTGGTGAGAAACTCAGAGGCCTCCACCTCGGCTCTCAAATCTGCTTAGCTCACTTTCCTGGAGACCCTGTCTGGCCCTGGTCCTGTTTCTTACCTCTGGATCCATCTGCCAGGAGTTTAGCTTGAGCGTCTTCACGTCTCAGTGTCCTCTTTCGGCCCCTGCGTTTTTATGTGCCTCTCGTCCCCTTGTTGTCTGGAAACAAGGATAGTGAATTCTCAAGGTTCTGGGGACACTCTCAGATGACGGGATGATCTTGTCATCTCTGACTCTGCTCACGCTTCCCTCATCCTGGCCAGCTTCCACCATTTGATCATAAGAATGCCTTTCTCAGGTTGAAACACAAGGAATCCCCTTGTTTGAGCTACAGTGTGGGAGTGTGGCAGAAGACAGAGGCCCTGTGGTTCCTGGGCCTCGTTGCGGGGAATAGACTGGAGAGTACTTTAGGGCAAGCCTATGACTCCTGGGCTTGAGGGGTAATTGGTGCTGGCTCTAGGGCTGGATCCCAAGACCCTAGCTAAGTACACTGGTGAAGAAATTCAGGGAAATCGCCATTCTGGGCCTCAAGGAAAGGGCAGGCCCAGAGAAGGGGTGGCAAATGCCGTGATTTATACCTAAGTAAGCTGGGCACTCAGAAGGCAGAGGCAGGCGGATCTCTATGAATTCCAAGCCTGCCAAAGATATATACATAGTTAGACCTAGTCTCAAAAAGCAATCAGAGCCGGCTGGTGGTGACTCATACCTTTAATCCCAGCATTTGGGAGGCAGATCTCTGTGAGTTTGTGGCTAGCCTGGTCTACAGAGCGAGTTCCAGGGCAGCCAGGGCTACACAGAAAAACACTGTCTCCAAAAACCAAAAGCCAAACCAATAAAACAAAAACAAAGAAACCAGAGTGACTTCTTGGAGATTAGCCCTTTGAGTCCCAGGTAGCTGCCCTGTCTTTCCAGGGCCCCGAAACTGGATTATACTGGAGGGGAAAGGGCGATCTTTATTCAGGGGACCCTCCTGAGTTGGAGGAGTCTTCCCCCAAACCGTCTTTTTCTGCTTTCCAGAAATTTCATTTTGGGGAAAGGAAAGTAACCATGTTGATTGTGTCTCTCCTGTCTCCCCAGCCCAAACACCTCAATAGTTTTATAGCCCCAAATCCTACAGCAGTTCGGCCTCTGGCTTTCCTATCTATAGACCTCTCCTCCCGTGCCCTCAAAGTGATTGCTATGTCTACAGTGACCTCAGATTCTTTTCCACTGTAGCTGGACTTCCTCACCGTGCCCCATAGTTCTGGGACTCCTGCTTTCTTTTTCTCAGACTGGAATTTCAGATGCCCTGTCTCAGTCCACACTCTGAACCATCTATAGTGTTCCTTGGACAACCAACCACCTTTCCTCATTGAAGATACTGTATTCTGTTTCTGAGTTACATTTCATCAGCTATAAATTTAGGAGCTGAAGAGGTTGCCTGCCTCCTTGTGGCCATTATGCACCATTGCTGGAGTTGCTGGGTGAAATCTCCAAGTTTAAATGGAATTCTATCTAGCCTTTCGAGAGGTGGCATAGATTTGCCCAGTTCTGCCTGTTGTGAAACTGTAGCAATGGCCTTGATAGAGAACCTACTGCCCAGTCTACAAACTGCCTCCATCTGTAGTCACACTGCCCAGCCTGCAAACCCACAGCTCCATCTGTAGTCACACTGCCCAGCCTGCAAACCCACAGTTCCATCCGTAGTCACACTGCCCAGTTTGCCATCCCACAGGTCCATCTGTAGTCACACTGCCCAGTCAACACCCTAATGCCCAAAGGAACTGAAAACTATTTTCCTCATTGTAAGATCTGAGACCTACCTGAGTATGGTGGCACACACCTGGCCTGTAATCCCAGCACTTGACAGGTGGATACAGATTAGGGGTTCAAAGTCATCTTCAGCTACATAGCTAGCCTGGAACCTGTGGGCAATCCTTCTGCCTCAGCTTTGAGTGCTGTAATTAGAAGTGTGAGCTGCCACACTTGGGTTTGGGTATCCTGTCTTAATACCTTTAGACTCTAGTTCATCATCTGAAGAATCCAAAAGTCACAGAAATGTATCCCTGGTCTTTCCTATATGCCTCTAGGCTGCCTGGATGAGGCTTGGTTGTCTTATTAGCGTGGACTTTTATGATTATAAATAGGAGCTGTTTGGGAGCTCAGAGAAGTGAGAGATGCAGAGACACAAGAAGAAAGGGAAACAGGGTGAACGTCTGATCTCCAAACTCAATGCCAAGATGGTAGCGGGGGGGGGAAACAGAACCTGGGAGGGGGAAGATGGGTCTGTCCAGGGGACCCGAGACCATGGGAGAGGTCAGGTGTTGTATTTCAAGGGAGCTGGGGGAGGTTAGGCTAAACCTTAGGTTGAATGGAAGAAGCTGAGTGGCAGTTTCAGTTAGAAATATTTGTGGTTACAGTGAGCACAAGCGCATTGTGGTTGTGGTGCCGGGCTCCTGCTGAGTATTCAATTGCATCCATTCAAAGAATAAAGAATGTGTGTGAGCCCACAAGGAAATGTAATGCATAAAAAGAAAATTAACCTGGTTTATACTTTAAGCATTTTAAAACATTGTTTCTTAATCCTATAAACAGCCCCTTGTTACCAACATATTGTTGAATAGAAATTTGCTAATTTCAGATCAGTAACAAATAGGTTACGGTACACATGAAAGTCAGTGTGATTGTAAGGTCCTTCCGTGAAATCCATGCCTCCCCACTAAGCCCCCACAGCCACGCTTTTCTTACTCTCCTAGGAGATCAGCAGTGTCTTGGTTTGCTGTTACTGATGTAATGAATTACCACAAACTCTAGTGGCTTAACAGCCAGTTAGGCTGGGCATGCCGGCACACGTTGGCAACCTGAGCCCTCAGGGGGCTGGGGCAGGAAGGTTTGAGGCCAGTCTCAGAAAAGGAATCAGACTTGGGTGGGAGGAGGGCTTCTGCAGGCTGGGTCCCTGACAGTCTCTCCTTTCCAGGACCACTGTGTCCTGCTCCTCCAGGCAGAGGTAATTACATTCCCAACAGACTAAGCCAGGCTCTCCCTGGAACTCACACACGTCTCCTTTTTAAATGTTTTTTATTCCTTAGTGGTTAATTATTGTTGATTCTAGACCCATTTTTTTCTTCTTTTTTTAGTTCCTGATCCCAGTCTCAATCTTCTCTTGGACATAGGCATACACTCAAATGTGTCAATATATGTTTGGAAATGTATCTTTAAATATATATGTGTATGTGTATAATATGATTCTGGGCTTTTACGTATTTTAATATGTATATATAGTGTACTTTGATAGTAAAGTAACTTCTCTAATGACTTGCTCTTATATTTCCATGACTTAACACAATCTAAGACTTATTTGTCAGTAATTTCATGGAGTATGGATATTTCTGTCTGGAAGCTCTCCTCCTCCCTGCCCATGTCAGGCCCCACACTCGGTCCAGTTTCAGATGGTGATATCCCGACTCCTGCACCATAAACTTTCCCACCAACTTTTACACCAAGTTGTTTTGCCATCCACTGATGATCCTTTTATTTCACTGGGATTACAAAACTCTCATTTCCTGACACTATTAGTATATCTTTATTTTTAGTATATTTTTATTTATTAGCTCTAATTCTGTACAGAAAAACTTCATAGCTCAGGACCATTTAGTTACCCTGAAATAAAGTTCATACCAGAATGATAAGACAGATGTTTATGTGTCTTCCATTTCCCATCCCAACCCCCTTCTTTTCTTGAGAGGGTCTCACATAGCCAAGACCGGACTTCAACTCACTAGATAGCTAAGGCTGATCCTCAACTTGTGATCTTGCTTTCATCTTCCAAGTACTGGGATTATAGGCCTACACCACGATACCTGGTGTTACAAAAATAAACAAAACCCAAAGAGGGTCTCACTGTGTGGTCCAGGTTAGCCTGGAGCTCAAGGATCCCCCTGCCTCAGACTCCTGACAGTAGGAGTCCGTTCATGGACTACCATGCCTTTTTCCATGTCATTTTCGAAGTAGTAATGGTGTTCCTTTAATTCCTTTAATTTGTTTTGGCTTATTTTCTCTCTCTCTCTCTCTCTCTCTCTCTCTCTCTCTCTCTCTCTCTCTTTTTTTTGGGACAGGGTTTCTCTGTATAGCCCTGGATTTCCTGAAACTTGCATTGTAGACTGGGCTAGTCTCAAACTCACAGAGATCTGCCTGCCTCTGATTCCTGAGTGCTGGGATTGAAGGCGTGTGTTACCACCTCCTGGCTATTCTCTCTCGCTCTTTAAAATTTATTTGTGTGTATTGGTATTTTGCCTGCATGTATATCTGTGTGATGGTGCCAGATCCCCTGGAACTGGAGTTACAGATGGTTGAGAGCTGCCATGCAGGGAACTGGACCTGGGTCCTCTGGAAGAGCAGCCAGTGCTCTTAACCTCTGACCCATCTCTTGAGCCCCTATTCTCTCTTTTAAATTTACTGGTATGGATCTGTACTTGTAGATGTCTTTCAATTATTTGCAGTCTTTTTATTATATAAAATATAAAACATGGGGGAACTGGAGAGATGGCTCAGTGGTTGAGAGCACTGGCTGCTCTTCCAGAAGACTCAAGCTTGGTTCTTAGCACCTGTAGTAAGTAGCTCATAATCATCGGTAACTCCAGCTTCAGGGGATCAGATGGCTGCAGTCATCTGCACTTACATGCACAGACCCACATGCAAGCACACACACCTATGCATAAGTAAAAAGAATGAAAGTTAAAAAAAATTTTCTTTTTTTGAAACAGGGTTCTCTGCAACAACCCTATGTAACATCCTGGCTGTCCTGGAACTCACTTTGTAGGCCAGGCTGGCCTCGAACTCAGAGATCTGCCTGCTTCTGTCTCCCAAGTGCTGAGATTAAAGGCCTGTGCCACCACTGTCTGGCAAAAGTAAATTTTTTAAAAAATTATTTAATGTGCATACATGTGTGCACTGTGTGACTGTATGTATGTACAACATGTGTATGCAGGTGGCCATGGTGACTGGAGGAAGGAATTAGATCTCCTGGAACTGAAGATACGGGTGGTTGTGAACTGTCCTGTGTGGGTGCTGGGAACTGAGCCCTGGCCCTCTGAAAAGGCAGTAAGTGCTCTTAATCACTGAGCTATCTTTCCAGTACTAAAATAATAAAGCTTAAAAAAAATCCATTGGGACTGGGAATGTAGCTCAGGTGTGAGGGAGAGTGCATGTCTAGCATGCCCGAGGCCAAAACAGTAAAAATAAAGCATGGATGGTGATGTTCTCTGTAATCACAGCTTTTGGGAGATAGAGGCGGGAAGCTCAGAAGTGCAAATCATTCTTGGCTATGTAGTAAGTTTGAGGCCAGCCTGGGCTACATGAGACTGTCTCCAGAAGTAAAATAACCAAGAAAAAGTAGAGAAAATAAGACTAATGAATTCTTATACACCTAACAATCAATTTCCTTTTTCTTTTTTTGAAGACCTTATTTCATTTATCAGTAGGGCTGTATGTGCCATTATGCATGTGTGTAGGTCAGAGACCAGCATATATGAGTTGGTTTTTTCCTTCCACTGTGTGGGGTCTTGGAATGGACTCAAATAGTCAGGATTAATGGCAAGTGACTTTACCCACTGAATCATCTCATTTGCCCATGAGGACCTGGCTTTAATTTTTAGAATCCACATAGAAAAGCTAGGTGTGGTGGCTAGCACTAAGGGAGGGTGAAACGGGCAAGCCTCTGGCTCATGGGCTAGTCTCACTAGCAAACCTGGTGAGTTCCAAGCCAGTGAGAGATGCTATCTCAAAATGATACCCAGTGTTGCGGAATATTCCCTTAAAGTTACAGAACATTCCTTTAACTGTACCCAGTGTTGTGGAATATTCCTTTAAAGTTACGGAACATTCCTTTAACTATGTGAAGGTGTGGGATATGCTGCATTTGTTTAACTATGTGAAGATGAGTTGCTGTTTTACCTTGTCTGCCTAAGGCAGATTGATCTAATAAAAAGCTGAATGGCCAATAGCTAGGCAGAACAGGGATAGGCAGGCTGGCAGTCAGAGAATAAATAGGAGTCTGGGCTCTAGAAAGAAGAGAATGAGAGAATGAGGGAGGAAGAAAGGGAGGAAGAGAGGGAGATATGCCCTGGACCAGCCAGCCAGCCAGCTGCCAGCCAGCTAGACATGCAGTAGGACATACAGAATGAAAGAAAGGTAAGAAGTCCCGAGGCGGGCTGGAGAGATGGCTCAGAGGTTAAGAGCACTGGCTGCTCTTCTAAAGGTCCTGAGTTCAACTCCCAGCAACCACATGGTGGCTCACAACCATCCAAGATGAGATCTAATGCCCTCTTCCAGCCTGCAGGCATATATAACACTGTATACATAATAAATAAATATTTAAAAAAAAAAAAGAAGTCCCGAGGCAAAATGTAGATGAAGAGAAACAGTTTAATTTAAGTTAAAGGAAAAAAAGTTAGCTAGAAACGAGCATAAGCTAAGGCCAAGCATTCTCACCGATAAGGATTATCGTCAATTCCTGACTGGAGTATTCTGTGAGGCTGGATCATCTCAGCCAGTAGCCTTGAAGCTGTTCTGGATGCAGAACTCAGAAAAAAACTGCAACAGAGGGGCTCTGAAACGTTGGATCAGGGAAGAATGAAAGAGCGAAAGGCCATGGGGACATGAGAGAGGCAGGCAGACAGACAAGAGGAAGAAGAGAAGCACTTTACTGAGTGCACATGTCATAAAGCTGATGGTGGAAAAGGTGCCTGGTGGCAGATAATGAATGATGAAACCACTTTGGCGACAGAGGCAGGCTGCAACTGCAGCAGAAACTAACACTCCCGAGAGCTGGGATTAAAGGCATGTGCCACCACAGCCTGACTTCTTTTTAAAATCAAAAACAAATTAAGTTTTTTAAATTGTCTGCATGTATGTCTATGTGCCACATATGTGCTCGGTGTCTACAGAGACCAAAAGAAGGAATTGAATCCCCCGGAACTGGAGTTACAGATGCTTATGAGCCACCATGTGGTGCTGGTGATTGAATGTGGTCCTCTGGAAAAACCGTCAGTGCTCTTTTGTTGTTTTGTTTTTTGAGACAGGGTTTCTCTGTAGCTTTAGAGCCTGTCCTGGAACTTGCTCTGTAGACCAGGCTGGCCTCGAACTCACAGAGATCCGCCTGCCTCTGCCTCCCGAGTGCTGGTGGTGTGCGCCACCACCGCCAGGAAAGCCAGTGCTCTTAATCTCTCTCCAGCCCCCTATTGGATTTTTTGAATCTTAGTTGGTGAGAAGATTCAACCAGATTCCAGGATTTGGGGCTCTTTTCATTTCTCATGTTTCCATAATTTTTATGTCTTTCTACTCTGCCTCTTCCATAGCTCTGGGCATGATGTCGAAGGTAGTAGTGTAGAGGAGGCAGAGGCAGGAGGATCTCAGTAAGTTCTAAATCAGAGTAGGCTACACAGTAAGATGTCTACACATCTCAAAACAAAAACAAAACTCAACCCAAACCAAAACAACAGCAAACAAACCCCAAACCTCCAAAATATCCCTGTGAAAAAGATGTTGACGTCACCCACACATTGCTGGGCCTTCTCCTGGGAGTGATCCCACACCAGGGGGTCATCTTCATGGCAATGCAGTTATTTTCTTTTTAGGTATGTGTTTTTGCTTCTTTTAGCTGCTCATTTCTGCTCCCAACAAGAGATTCCTAGGGAAATTCAAATTTCTTGGGTTCATTGCTTCCACAGTCTAAAAGCCAAAGGAAGGACACACGTGTATCTCTTTACAGTATCTTCATTCCTGCCAGGCAGGCTGGTGACTGAGGATCCTAAGTTTAAGGCTAACTGAGCTACACAGCAAGACCTTGTCTAAATCAACAAAAAATGTCAGCAGTGATAGGGATTGAGTCTATGGCCTCATACTTGCTCTACCACTGAGCTACAGTACTAAGCACCTCTCCCCCTCCCAACAAACAAACCCGCACAACAAAACAAAATGAGAACAATAAATCTACCTTATAGCTGAGGACATTAAATGAATTATTATGCTAAAAAGGTTCTTTCAAGTGAATAGTGGTAAATGTCTGTCATGGGTATGCTTTCAAGATTAGTGAGCGGGGGCTGGAGAGATGGCTCAGTGGTTAAGAGCATTGTCTGCTCTTCCTAAGGTCTTGAGTTCAATTCCCAGCAACCACATGGTGGCTCACAACCATCTGTAAAGAGGTCTGGTGCCCTCTTCTGGCCTTCAGGCATACAGACAGAGTATTGTATACATAATAAATAAATAAATATTTAAAAAAAAAAGATTAGTGAGTGGTTAGGCGATGCACGGGACTG